CCTTGCACTCATACTTGATCTTGAGCCAATACCGCTGAATAAGACACTTTGTGATCGACTAGGATGCATTCATGGATTGTGCACTTCCTATGTCAACGCTCGAGATAGTCACTTTTGTTCATGTGATCAAGGCTGGACTGGTCTCACATGTAATGAACGTTTGGCCATTGATGTTTGCACTCAACTCAAATGTGATCCTTTATATTCGAAATGTGTTGGTCGTGGCGATCGCGGTATTTGTCTATGCACATTAGGCCGCATTGGACACAACTGTCGCGTTCCATACAATGCTTGTGATGAATTTTTCTGCAAAAACGGCGGTCAATGATTCTCACTTGATTTACGTGCTTTGCCAACAATCTGCTTTTGTCCCACTGATTATTTTGGTGACGTATGTCAATTCAAAACGGCAAGTCTAACAATTCAAATTCCACGTACTGGCGAATTTATTCCTGTTCTGATTGCACATTTCTTGCACACACCGGAAAGCATTCCCGGAACTCTGTCTCATCGAAATATGTATTTTCTGAAGAACCTCTATCCAGGCACACAGATTAATATTCGTGATAATTTGCAGGAATTTCTACCCTCAGTAATCATTGTACAGACATTCACTGATGTATCCTCCTATCATGGATCGTATTATCTTCTATCACTCCTGAATCAAAACCGCACAAGCTTAACGAAGCCTCTTGTTTTTGACAATCGTTGTATAGATGTGAGCGAATGACTCAATTCGTCCATCATGAATTTCACGTGGTTGAAACGAGTCAAACTTTATCATCACTATTTCAAGAACGTTCGCTGCTTCTTTGACGAAATCTACATGTGTCTTGTCGACCAAGATCAATTAATTGACTGTCTTAATTTCAACTATGAAGTATCACGTTGCACTGGTCGCTTTTATTGTGCACACGGAGGACGATGTCTTGAAATCAAAAGAGCAGGTCAAGTTCAGTTCGCATGTGTCTGTCCCGAATGTCACTACGGAACATTTTGTCAACTGACTATGACGGAATATTCATTAACTCTTGATTCCATAGTGAATCAGGAAATTATTACCGATGTGTCTCTCGATCAGCAAAAGGCTTTTATCAAAATCACACTGGCACTAGTCGCACTTATGTTCGTAGTTGGTATTATCTCGAATATATGTTCCTCTTTCACATTTTCTCACGATACAATCCTAAGCAGTGGTTGCGGCTACTATTTATTTATTTTGTCAATTGCAAGTCAATGCAGTTTGATCATCTTCGTCCTTCGGTTCATCTATCTTCTCGTCAGCCAAATATCAATAGTTTCGAACAGACGGTTTCTTAACATTAGTTGTATGTTATTTGATTTTCTCTTACAGCTTTCAATATCTTTCTGTGATTGGCTCTTCGCTTGTATCGCTATTGAGCGTGCGACAAGTGTGATTAAAGGTATTCAGTTCAACAAAGCACTGAGTGTTCGCATGGCCAAGTTTGTCATTCCAACATTGATTGTCGGTCTGATCTTTACATTGATTCATAAAGTGTTCACTCGAGAACTAATTCCAGATCCACGTATAGATGAACGTTTTTGGTGTGTTGTCAGGTTTTCGAAAGCTTGGCTGAACAAATACGATGTTACTATGAATTTGGTCACTAATATTGTCCCATTTTTGATCAATCTCATTTCAGCCGTACTACTCTTGATAACTCTTTTTCGTACGAAACAAAAAACAACCAGAAAGAGTTACGTGAATCTTCTGAAGAAACAAGTGAAAACACATAAAGACTTGATTATAAGTCCAATTCTAATGATTAGCTGCAAGTTACCCATACTTATTGTTATTCTTGTTATTAAATGTATTAAATACAAATGGCAACTCTATCTTTCGATCATATCCTACTTCATGGCACTTGTCCCATTGACAGCGACGTTCGCCATATTTGTATTGCCTTCTCTATCATATCGAAAAGTCTTTAGTACTAGGCTAAACAAGTTATTCGGACGACAATTGGGATCAAAAGCATGACTAGATGGACGTGCTTTCGTCTTAATGCTTTTAATAGTGTGTTTCGCTTTTGTTCTGTCAAATATGATTGTTACTCAGTGTTGAAATAAGAGGTGTCATTATATATTTACTTTCAATTTAATTTATGCGTAAATTTAATTATCACTAATTTAAACTATAATAAAGGACCCCGGCGGCTTTCTCAACGTATTCATTTCGAAAAAGAAAATACAGGGTTTTGTAGAGCTCGAAAAGTTACATCTAGTGATATATGAATCAGATTGGTTTCTATTCAATTTCAAGACTTTTTCCTTTATAAGTTGATCTTATCAAATATTTAGGTTCAAAGCATTAGACTATCATATAGAAAGGGTCCTTATCAGAATACAATAACAATTATTGTCTTACTTAGTCTTGTCGAGCTTTTTCCGCTCTACAATTTTGCATCTTTCGTTAACTCGTTTTAAAGAAAAAATATTTTTCTTTCAATTCAAAAATATCAAAACTTTTAATGAACAATCCAGGATTTCCACTTTTTGGATATTTTCGTGGTCTTTTATTGTTCTTTAATACCTAGTGCCATCAACGTGACTTTTTCTAAGACACTGCACCTAGTCATGATCTATCATTAGCCATAAAAACCATATTAAAAGTGGAAGTAATTGTAGAAAACCTCACTCGACACTGTGCGTGAGACTGAGGGTGAGTTATTCCCAGGTGAATTTTTTACCGAAAAATAGTTCATGAAAACATTTGAAGCACACATAAGTCGACTCTGTTTTCGATGCTGATTCCAAATATGTGATCAAATTTTAATAATTCAGATAAAAACGTAACTGTTTTCGCTAAAATTTTCTAAAAGTCAGCAAAAAAGACAAAATTTTGCGAGGGTCGCACAGTGTCGAGTGAGTCTTTCTACAATTACGTGCAGCTTCTCGACAAGAACTTCATGTTTTATCGTGAAGAAATCCATGTTTCTCCACAAGAACCTCGCTCGTTTTCCTGTAGAAATGCATGCTTCTCCACAAGAACTTTCTGTTTTCTGCTGAAGCAAATCATCCGTCACCACAAGAACTTCATGTTGTCTCCGGAAGAAATCCATGTTAGTTCACAAGAACTTCGTGTTTTCTCGTGACGAAATCCAAGTTTCCACAAGAACTTCCTGTTTTCTGCTGAAGGAATTCTCACCCT